TTTTTTTTTTTTTTTTTTTTTTTTCTCCACTCTACGTATGCCCTGCATATACATCTATTATAGTGTCCTCATCTTTTTGGTGGTCGTGTTTTGATTTGTATTCAGAATGTCAACATTATTGGCACTGGTGCTATTTCTCTCTCTTTTGAGTGTGTATAGGGATCCATTATCATATTAGGTATACTAGAAATTTTGCTTTTAATACATTTCGATTCTGTTGCCCAAAGAAGACTGATTGTGAGGAAGTTCCATAGTGGCCTATGCATACCTGAGAGATATTTATATGTACTCTTGCTTTCCATACTTGTGTTTGATACCTATCATATGTGACGAGTTTATCCCTCCTTTTTTAAAGAATTAATAGTTACTAGTACTGGTTATCCAATGTATGTTTGGGCTGATAAAGCTGAACAAATCAAAAGATAGTTTAAAGTTACCATATGCTTGTTTCACTGTTAAGCTTGAAACAGTGATTAACATACTCAATGGGGAGTTGATTATTAGTCAATACCTTTTCAGGCTCATGCATTTGATATGTGGACTATTTTTTCTTTAACTCAGTTGGTTGTTAAAGAAGACGATAGCCTGGCTATTGTTATGTGTTTGATTTGCAGAGTATTTTAGTTTTAACCGAATCATCTGAAAATATAATTTTCTGACATTGCAGTTCCTTCTGAATGTTTATGAGAATACTACTGATTATTTGTGTCGAAATTCATCTCCTAATTCTCTCTACATGGGTAACTCCTCTAATAACACCAAATCTATCATGCCCAAACCTGGGGTTGGTGACTTAGAGAGGTTTGTCATGTCCCACTCCAGAGATTGGTGGTATCATAAAGAAAAATTATTAGGAAAAGAGTTTGATATATAAGACCTTTGTTTTTTTATAGGAAGAACATTGTTTTAAAACTCTTTACTTCTCAACCAAATTTTAAAGCTATAGTTTTAAAGGTGACCAAGAATTTTGCGTAGTGTATGTGACTTAGTTTTGTTTTTATTGAAACAGAGTGATGGAAGCTAAATTTATTTAGTGGTGGGTTAAAAGCTAAGTCCAAGCGTTCTTGACTCTTGGAATAGTGATTAAATCTTATGAACTGAAATTTTTTTTTAGGCCGTTACATCATTAGTCATTTTAGTAAAAAATGATTTGTTCAAATGAAGAAACCTAAATCAAGGTACAGATTTTTTTTGTTCATTAACATAGTTTTAGTACTTCCAATTTGTCTTAGTTTGATGTTGGTATTATGTATAAAGAGAAGACAAACTGGAAGTATTTAAACAATTAAAGGTTCGGATGATTCTTTTGCATTTTTATGGAGGATAGTTGCTTTCTTATAAATGAACTGTTTGTTTGTTATGTAACACAATCTATCGTAGTTATGGTCAAAACATAAGAGACCTATTGGGATTCTCTGTCTATGCTCTTGATCTGTAGCGCTTATTCTTTTACTGGTTTACAGGTAAGTGAAGAAGTGGAACGTGCGTTGGCTAAGTTAGGCCCTCCGAGAGTTAATGGAAGGTCAAAAAATTATTTATGAGAATTTTATTTATTTATTTTTATAATGAATGAAACAAATTTTAATCATTTATAGAATAGAACAAAATAGTTAACCCCTTTAAGAATTATAAATAAGCAATCCTGTTAAGTTATCAGGATAAGCAAGGATTGCCTATCCGGATTTCTAATTATTTATATGATATCAGAAAGGAAATTGTTGCAAAAAGGGAGAGTAATGATAGATGCTTTTTAATGCAAGATATTTTGTTTCAATGCTCCCTGATGTCAGAGTCATCACAACCATGAATTATTTTAGCAAAATAAAAAGTTATTAAAAAAATGTCACCATGAACTTTATGTTCAATCATGTTGTGGTAAAACAGTTTCTGACATTTGACATTTCAGGTCTTCCCCAAAACGGATTGAAGGTCCCAATGGGCAAAACTTGCAGCTAGAGTTTAGGTCCAATTTGTCTCTTCCGATCTTCACTGGAGGGAAAGTTGAAGGCGAGCAGGGTGCTGCAATTCATGTTGTTTTGGTTGATAGAAACACACAGCGAGTTGTGACTTCGGGACCCGAATCCTCTGTAAAACTGGATGTTGTTGTGCTTGAAGGTGATTTCAACAATGAAGATGATGAAGGCTGGACTCAAGAAGAATTTGATAGCCATGTGGTGAAAGAGCGTGAAGGGAAGAGACCTCTGTTGACTGGGGAACTGCAAGTGACCCTCAAAGAAGGGGTAGGAACACTAGGGGATCTGACCTTTACAGATAACTCAAGTTGGATACGAAGCAGGAAGTTCAGGCTTGGAATGAAAGTTGCTTCGGGATTTTGTGAGGGCATGCGCGTACGTGAAGCTAAGACAGAAGCTTTTACTGTTAAAGATCACAGAGGAGAATGTAGGTTCATGCTCTGGCGTATATTTTCTTTTTCTATCTGTTCTAGCACACTGTTGTTGATTTTTTATTAATTTTTTTTTTCCATTGATCTTGACAGTGTACAAGAAACACTACCCACCAGCATTAAGTGATGATGTATGGAGATTGGAGAAGATTGGCAAGGATGGGGCATTCCATAAGAGGCTAAACAATGCAGGAATATTCACAGTTGAAGAGTTTCTTCAGCTTGTGGTCCGAGATTCTCAAAAATTACGGAATGTAAGTGTAGGACTTGGTTTGAGTTGTAAAAGCACACACTAACACATACTCAATTTTGTACCTTGTAGATGTTTTATATTTTGTTTGGATGCTGTATATAGATTCTTGGAAGCGGTATGTCGAACAAGATGTGGGATGCTCTTTTAGAACATGCAAAGACTTGTGTCTTGAGTGGGAAGCTTTATGTTTATTATCCTGAAGATACAAGAAATGTTGGTGTTGTTTTTAACAACATCTATGAACTGAGTGGCCTCATCGCTGGGGAGCAGTTTCACTCTGCCGATGCTCTATCTGACAGCCAGAAGGTGAATATTAACCTCTTTCTTTTGGTTTATTTTATTTTTCTTGGAATGTGGTCTCACTTTTTTATTTTTTGGTCGGTCAATCTTTGTGTTCTTTTAGATTACATATTTCAAAATAAATTTTCCTTTTGCTGCAAGGTTTTATATTTGACACATAGTGGAAGAGTTGAAACAGGTTCACCAAGGAGAATTAATGTAGGGAGATGAGTTTTGTTTTTTGTTTTGTTTTTTTTCTGATAATTCATGTTAGGAGGATGTGCTCTTTATGTGTTAAATCTTTGTTCCTGCTGTAGTCTTCTGCTGTTCCTAGTAAATGTATGGAAG